AATATTCTTTCAACATTTGAATTGTAGGCTCTGATTAACGCGACCTACATCATTTTGTGTAAGCAGCATTGGACATCGCCAAGTATCTTTTTGTATATCTGAAAGCTGTGTACAAGAATGTTAGCACCATTTAACGCCTATGGTTACAAACAGACTGAGACAAGATGTTATAGCATACTCTATGTATGTATTTAGTGTAAATCAGTTACAATAGTCAGGTCAATTTTTTTTGTGTGTATAAAAGTTTTGAATCATCACATCTATTATGTGTTCGATGTGATTGAGTTATTTTAGTTCATAAATAATTAGTTACATTCAAGACTTTGGGTCAGTCATATGAATTTGAAGACATAAAAACACTATTACAAACTAATTAAATAACATTTATAATCATTTGTAGAACTCGTAATTAAGGGAGGTCAACGTATAGAGTTTTCTGAACAGACATATGGATACTGCAAATTCAGAAACATGGACTACGTGGAAAAAAACTTCTGTTCATGAAGCCGCAAATCGACGGTGATACAACTAGTGATTTATTATACGACAGACATACTAGAACAATGAAAATGACTTTTAATTCAGGTAACCACTGTTTGTTGGTCTCCATTCTATCCATGCTAGTTCCACAACTGAAGGACAAATGATCTGCTTTTCCCACATCTTTATGTATTTATGAATCCAATTACTTCTGTGGAGAAAATTATACTAGGTTTACAACCAGACAACTTAGCCAACAAGATAACAAATATCCCACTTGGTGGTTTAGAAATAGTCAGAATAAAACCATACACCTCTCCTTTTTATCACAGTTAATAGATCAAACTAAAGCATTCACCGTGGTCCATCTTATAACATGGAATCTTTTGAATGGGGTTCGATTTTATTCTCCACCTGTCATTCAGGCTAATAGCTCCACTTTCTACATTCAAAAGAGATTTGTAACACATCTATTACTTTCTTAATTAAATGTGACTTAAGAGACGATCCTATCATTTGTTTACATCTTTTGATTATCTCGATTGCTCTCGTTCACTATTTATGTGTTTTCACCGACTACTTGTATATTTCTTATTACTTACTATTTAATATAATCATAATCTCAACAAGTTTATTATTTCTAGTTTTGACTTACTTTATATGTTGAAATAATCATTTAGGTTATCATTATTCTCATTACTACTAGTACACATGTCACTTTACTACCAACTCACAATCTTTAATTATTATGTTATGTAATTAGTTATGCGATCAATATCAATGTTACTACTATCTCACAAACTGACCTAATATTTTTCGTATGTATACCTAAATATCACTTCTATCAGAGTTCAACCTGATGAAAATTTTGTTCGAAACAGTATTGTTTGCTTTAAAGATGAAGGATGTATCAGTAAAATATATGAGAATGAATTTGAAGGAAATCCAACATTTCACTCGACAATCTGGTTCAAGCTTTTCAAAGAAACATAGTCAAACATCAAAATTGTCGAACATAAATAGTTACATGGTTCTTAGGTTAACTGTATACTAAATAGGTCATCCAATCATCTTAACAATATTTATAGTAGGTATTTGATTTAATGAGACATGTAATGTATGAAGAAAAGAGTGTTAAGATAATGGATTGTTTATATTCGTAAATGGACCTGAGGTATGAGAAGAAATTTCACTCACTGTTTATCACCTCTGATCGTATTGTTTGCTTATATGCGTTGCTCCAATAGACGGTTACTAATAATCAATTCTAATAATGATAAATAAGTATATGACAGTAAATCACTAAATTAAAATTCAGTTCACAATTTTCACTTTAATCGCTCTGTGAAAACTTATATCTCAAACCTAGTCAATAGTGTTCAAACAGTAATTGCGTTTTACAGCTTACATTATTTCTAGTGTTTTTACAGATAATTACAATCAGTGATAATGAATTCTAATAGTTGGATTCATGAGTCAGTCAAGCTAGAACATCATAGAAAGCTTGGAAGCAGTGAACGGCTGTTTCGTCCTAATGTGGGAATTCGTAGCAGTGTGCATCCACGGTCTCGCTTGCGAGACTCGAACCCAAGATCTTTAGTCTCCGTCGCGAACATTTGACCTCTAGATCACGATGTTAATATCTAACTTCAATCGATCCATGATCTTGAACAACCATTCATCAATTGTCTGTGATAGATACTTGTCTCTACCCGACACACATTAGACTCCGCTAGTCACGCAAGATCATGGATCAATTAAAGTTAGACATTAATACCATGGGGTGCTGGCTCAATGACCTAGAGGTTAAGCGTTCACGAGAGATCAAAGGTCCTGGGTTCGAGTCTCGCATGTGGAATCCTAGACGCACACTGCTGAGGAGTCCCACACTAGGATGAAATAATCGTCCAGTGCTTCCAGGTTTTCAATGGTGTTCTAGCTAAGATTAACGGATGAATTCAACTATTAAAATTACTACAATCTCCACAATTCCTCATTCTAAAGATAATAAATTTCTTCAATATGTATTACATCATATTAGCTTTTGTTTATCATAGTTACATGAAAACAACTTCATAAACAATTACCATTTCAATATGTCGATTGACTCACGAAAAGAAAATTTTAATTTAATTCACAAGAAATTCAAATTATTTTCTCCTCTTATATTATAAGAGTATTGTAACTAAGTAATTATATAAAACAATTAATCAAGTAAACTATTAACTGAGATGATGACATTTATGATGCTGTTTACTAAGAAACTACAATAACGAGAAGTGAGGAATTTATATTCCATTTATTCATTGTTTATCATTAATGAAAATATGTTCTACATTACCTAAATGAATGATGAATGTTCAAGTTTTTCAACCAATGTAATGAATAAACTGAAATTGATTTATAAGTAAAGATGGATAGTGGCTAGCAATGGAATCCAGGACGCGCGTTCCGTCCTGTTTGGGGCTCGTCAGCCGGATGTACATGCATCTCGGAGTTGATGCTCACTCTGGGACTCGAACTCAGCACCGTTCGCTTCAAACGCCATCGCGTGATCCACTTAGCTACTGAATCCTGAGTTCGAGTCCCAGAGTGAACATCAACTCTGAGATGCAAGTATATCCAGCTGACGAGTCCCAAACAGGACGAAACGCGCGTCCTGGATTCCACTGCTAACCACTATCCATTTCTGCTTATAATGCCTGTAAATTAAGGCAATATCGAGGAATACGCAAAGTATGCACATGTGCCAATAAGAGACTGATCAATTTCAGTCCTAAAACATCAATGGGAAGATTCAAGTAAAAAAATACCAAGTGAATGAAATTGATTTAGTTACTATGTAATTGAACTTAAAATCAAAGTCGGTACATCTTACAGAAAGAAATGACCTTAAAAAATACAAGCATATGTCCCTTGATAAAATAACAAATAACTAATTGAGTATAATTTTATTGAAAGTTCATTACCGTTTGAAGACATTTCATTTAATAGAAGGCTTATTATTGTTTAAAAGATAAATTTCAGAAGTCATAGTTTCATTCAGTCAGTAATTTTGTCATAATTAACGTAGAACTTAGCATAAGTGTTTGTATAGCAAAGCGGTCCATACCGTTTTAACACAATGTAATGAAATCATCAAGATGAATAATTAAGATGTAATAGTGTTTGTAACAACAAAAGTTGATTGGGGTTAAGGAATATAATTAGGAAAGAGAGAACAATTAGTGAAAAACGTACGAAAAAAGTGTGAAATTCAAAATTTAGGAACAGATTAAGAGTGGATCCGTCTGCATCATTGCGAGCAGTTCTGAAACATATCGCTAAAAGTATCCGTCTATTGATCGCGATAACCATTAGAACTGTGATTAGGTAGTCAACACTTACTAACATAGCTCTGACCAGCATTCAATAAAATCACGGGCCAATGCTATTTCATTGTTTTGCTACTCTTAGCTTTCTCACGACCTTCTCCCACTCCAGCCGAGGCTGTATATTGAGGTAGTCCGTGATTAGACAGACGTAGCACATATTCTAACCGCTTCACTTAATGGCAATTCACAGTTTCACAAACCGATTTGTCATCGTTGCCTATTACCAAATACCTAACCTCGACATCAATAACTTGGTGATTCCAACATATATGACCAACGTTACAAAAAGCGCATGATTAAATGCTAGTAATCTACAATTTTTTTTACTTCTTAAGAGCTATGTCTCACAGCTGTAAAAAGTTTCACCGTCATACATTTTAATGACAAACATTGCCACGAAACCTCTAAGTTCTCGCAATTAAATGCTGCCATTAAGTCAAGAAGTTTCATTATAAATGAAAGTCAGTAAGTACCAAATTTTTTGGAGCCTATTAAACCGTGAATATTTTTTTTAATAAATATATTTCTACATCTGAAACGATATAGAATTTCACATATTTACTGTCTACACATTTTAATTAACAGCTGGAGTTTCGAGGACATCAAAAAGTTTAACTGATTTTCTATGGATGATAGGTTAAATGATGAATTTTTTTCAAAATTATTAAATGATTTAATATTGAAATACATATATTTTTGTCTCTGAAAAATATTTACACAACGTGCTCTATTCTTACTTAAAGAAATAACGGCATGTCTATTTGGTAATTAGTTATGTTAAAAAGATTAGTTGAATGAAGAGTTCTCTTTTCAGCAAATTCATTTTCATTTTCACGGAAAAGAGAACTCTTCACTGAACTGATCTTTCTTATTTAATATTTTAATGGATGTATTCCATTTACTAAAAAAATTAGTTATGTACAAATTATAAGAAACTCCGCCTGGAGCCCCTCTGGGGTTACTGCCAGTCCTAAACCCGGATAAAGGAGGAAGGTTAGGTAGGGAGTTAGGGCCCCACCCCGTAGAAAACTAACTCGCTAAATAAACGTTAACCAGAGAAAAAAATTATTCAAACCACAAATTATAAGAAACTGATTAAGTAACAATGTTTTTTTCTTTAAAAAAGAAAATCGAATCAAAACTTACAATAATGTTCTTTGACATGTTGCACAACGAAAACATGCCTTATGATAAACTCGTTCACCGGTAGATATACGATCTACAGGATAAATACGTTTTCCACAATCAAAGCATAAATCCATATATTGCTAATATGAGTGAATATTTTAGAAAACAAAAAAAAATTCAGAAAACAAAAACAACATTATATATTAATTATGCATTATCATTATAAATCATTATAATTTTAAGGAAAACGTTAAGATATGAATGAATACTTCTTAATGTAATTTGTACTTTCAGTTAAGAGTTTGCTAAACAATTTGAATATCATACATTTGATCATTGGTTACGTTATGAGCACAAATCGATAAACAAACAGTCTAATACTTGGACAAATCTTCAGATGATGTAGAAGTTTTATAGCTCAGGTGAATAATTTTGATGAAGTTTTATTCTCTGAGCTGGATGGTTTAGTCGTGAAGTTTTCATCGTTTTTCTGAACAACATCATCAGCACAAACTTTAGATAGAAGTAAACCATCCAACTCAAAGAATAAAACTCTATCAAAAACTTGGACAAATCAAATCGTTCAGTTCTGTTTGATTTTTAATAATATCTAAACTATGATTAATCTCTAACAAATGAAACTTGTAAATTAAATCTCCTCTAAATAGACATATTCTTATTGTTAGTATATTGAGTTACATAAATAAAAATGAAGCAATTGAGAATGCTGAAAAATGTTTATAAGGAGTTCATTGATTGAAATGTTACTATTACACACCTTATAAAATAATGAATGAATGTATGTTATTCCTCTACAATGAACATAAATCCATTTAATTGGATGCCAATACGGTAAAACAATGTTTTACTTGAGATCATGAACCGATTGATGTTAGACCACTATTGAAAACTTGGAAGCACTGGAAGGCCATTTCGTCCGAATGTGGGACTCCTCAGCAGTGCGCATGTACGATCCCGCTCGCGGGTTCCGAACCCAGGGCCTTCAGTCTCGCCCATGAACGCTTAAGCTGATGGACCACTGAGCCGGCATCCAATCGTGCTAATGTCTAACATCAACCAATCCACGAAATTGTGCGACCATCTTCCATTGTACTGAAGTAGATACATGTCTCTACCCGACACGGATTAGCTCCACTGGATGCCCACTGCTGAATAGTCCCACAATATAACCGAAACGGCCATCCAGTGCTTCAAGGTCTCCAACGGCGGTCTAACATCAATCGGTTCATGATATCAATCAAAAATTTAATAATCACCACAACCCCAACACTGACAATGTTTTAGTGTTGTATGGTTAATAACAGAGTTTATTCTCATATAGATAAAGCAATGATTCACATACATTAAAGAACATTTCTTCTTGTCAATAAGTTGTTTTGTGTTTCTGTGTAACATTTGCTAATCTTTGATTTTGTTTAACTGGCAACAAATAACGTATTTCTATGCCTAAAGATTTTAATAAATAAGTTATTTATGAACTTACTATTGACATAACTCCATTATTGTTTTTTATAAATACTTATTTTTATACTCATTTACCAAACACTTAACTATTTACAAACTATAAAATATGATCCCGCTGTAGGTATAATACAAATAAAATGTTATTAAAATATTGCAATAAATCAATTTCAGTAAAGAATTAGCTTCAAAGAAATCATTTTGAGAAATACAATTATCAGCTAACTACTAAGAATTTAAACTGTTAAACATTGGTTGTCAACTTTCATCAAAGACCGGTACTCTTTTTGTTGAATAAAAATACAAATAGTGAGAACAATTTACAAATTAATAACAAATTATCAATATAGGGGTTGTGGAGAATATTCAGGTTTTGATTGGGATCATGAATCGATTGATGAAAAGTCCCACAATAGGATAAAACGTCCGTCCAGTGCTTCCATGTTTTCAATGGTGGTCTAACATCAATCAGTTTTTGATCTCAATTAATAATAAATTATCTAGCTTTCAGATTGACAGGCTTTTTTCTCAGTATACTATTATGATATCAATATGTTAAAAAAACTGATGAAATAATAGAGATGGATTCCCCGTAAATATATTTATTCGCTAAGTTTTCATTATCATTTATTGGCATGATCATCAGTCTCCGCTTTGAGAAGAAGATATAAATAACGTTATCCTATCGAATCTTAAAAGTCAAATATATCACTTCAAATGAATGTAAAACCAGGAAAAAAATGACAAAACTGTATACTGAACTATTTAGTCAGTCATATAATAAGGAAACCATTTCAAAAACTTTTATCAGCATAACAACGAAAAAAATTGATTAAGACATTAAACAAAATGTAAGCATTTCAGTAGACAATAAAATAAAACAAAACAACGTTTGATAATATTTATAGGGTAAATTGTTAGTTGTCATGATGTATTGTTTCTTAATAAAACTAAAAACCACTTTTAAGAAAAAATATAATTTAATGACACATTTCAATTGACTTATGATAACAGCTATTGAAATTAATATAACATCCACAAAAACCCCTTCTGATACTAATCAACATATGCTCACTAGTGACTGGCTTCAAGAGGTATTTCCTGGAGTTCTACTGAGAAGCAGTGACTAATGGAGTTCAATCAGGTCTGTTGTGAGATGGTAACTCACTGAGGACAATGGTGGATGGGTCGTTCAATTTGGTGGATTAGTTGAAGTTAGACATTAACACTGTTGGATGCCGACCAGCTCAGTGGTCTAGTGATTAAGCGCACGCGCGCGAGACTGATAGATCATGTGTTGGAATCTTGTGGGGGCGGAATCGAGCATGGGCACTGCTGAGGAATCCCACAATAGGACGGGATGGTCGTCTAGTTCTTCTAGGTTTTACATGGTCGACTAGCTTCAAGTGACTCATGATCTCAACTGTTGACATTTAAAATGAGCTAACTTTATAAAATTCAGAAAGTTGTTCTAAATAGCACTAGAGTTATTTTAATCAATTGAAATAAATGTTTCTTGGGTGTGTCTGATTATGTACACATGTTAATTTTTCCATTTCGCACGTACAAATAATTACTTTACTTTTCTTTTAAAAAAGTGTTTCAGTAGACATTCTATCAAATCAGTTCTTGCTAATTGTTTCATTAATACTTCACAAATGAATCACGTATTTCTCTAGGCACTGATTTTTTTGTGTTTGTTGATTTCACATATTACACTTAGTACTAATGAATAGTGATTATCAGAAGTTCATACTATTTTCAATGACTCTTATCTATCATCAGAAGGGGTTTTGTAGACATTTCAATAATTTCACTGATTGAAATCATGAGTCAATTGAAGCTAGTCCATCATGGAAAACCTGGAAGCACTAGATGACCGTTTTGTCCTATTGTAGGACTTCTCAGCAGTGCACATCCACGATTCCGCTCCCCATGAGATTCGAACTTGGGACCTATCAGTCCCGCGTGCAAGCGCTTAACCATTAGACCACTGAGCTGGCCGGCATTCAACGGTGTTAATGTATAACTTCAACCAATCCACGAAATTGCGCCACCGTACATCATTTTATTGTTACTGTTAGTCTAGTAGGGCATGAACAGTAATATATTTAACGATGAATTGTATCTTTTCTGCTACTGACATAAATATCTGGTTGTAACTCAGTTTATAGACTTAAAAACAACCAAGTATCAATACTTTAAAAAGTGTAAGCACAAAACATTTGAAGTCAGAATGATCATTTATTAGTAGAAATGAGTGAGAAAATACAACTATTCATCTTGTTAGTAAATTAGATCACAAGAAAGTCTGTTAACGTTTCAAGATTTTAATGGGTCAAACAATAAAAAACAAGTAATTTTAAATCATTATGGTTGAAATAAGATCGATAATTTGATGCGATCGCAGAATAATGAATAAGAACTTTCGACTAAATTTGATCGAATAGTTTCACACTATTTGGGCGCCGAATTAATGTGAGATCATAAAGAGGAAGAATGTATTTGTAACATTTTAGCAAATGAATTTTGAAGTAAATCCAACGTTATAATTTCCTTGAAAAAGATTGGACCAGATTGCTAGATGAAACGTTGGATTTACTTCAAAATTCATTCGCTGAGATTTTACAAATACATTCTTCCTCTTTAGAAGTGTATTTGTATATTATAAATTTTAATTGCTGAAAAATTCCCATTATAATAAAACACAATTTATATGAATGCAGAATATTCTTTTCAATAATTTCTCATCACCTATTCTACAATTATCATATCCAAATTGATAATCCATAAAGTTGACCAGATTTAAGGCAGAGTACATCATTTGGAAATTGTAGTATGTGAATTAAGAATTGTTGTTTTTGTTATATAAAATCAAATCAAATCGTTAAATTTGGGGCTGATTAATATGAAGTTATCAGAAGGGGTTTTGTGAAGATTGTAGAAATTTCACTGATTGAAATCATGAGTCAATTGAAGCTAGTCCATCATGGAAAACCTGGAAGCACTAGACGACCGTTTTGTCCTATTGTAGGACTTCTCAGCAGTGCACATCCACGATTCCGCTCCCCACGAGATTCGAACTTGGGACCTATCAGTCCCGCGTGCAAGCGCTTAACCATTAGACCACTGAGCTGGCCGGCATTCAACGGTGTTAATGTCTAACTTCAACCAATCCACGTACTGAGATTGCCGAGCGAGCGATGTGATGGTTGAACGCAGAGCAATAGGTGAATCGGACAAATCAGTGGATGAAACTCTAGATCTCCATCTATTGAGGTGATTGTGACATTTGTTACGTATAAATAACCTCAGACTATCTTTAAATGTATTATTATCTGGTGAAGAAGTTAACTGGAAGAAAGCTAAGGGTAGCGAAACGAAGACATGGTAATATTTTATGAAATCACTGATCACTGAACTTAGTCATTTTGGTTGGCGTACATTACAGTGTTGTGCTTTGGGCGATAATCATAATCAGTGGCTGGAGACGCTGGGTGACATGGCTGATAATTTGCCGCGATGGAACATGTATCGTGTTTTATCTATCCCATTATTCCTTCATACTTGCCTTCTTATCCTCCTTTACGAATCATTCTGTCAATGCTTAAATGATCTCATCACAAGTGCTTGCACAGTTATTTAAACTTAAACTGCTATTTATCTTGCTTATTTAGTCTCATCATCCCCGTTTAGTACAGCGCCTTAGGCTAACGCAAACCTGTGTTAAACTCTATGCTGATTATGACTATCTAACCACAAACCTTGAAGATTCTAAGCTCGATCCTACGTGAATTCATTGATGTCCACAACTAAAGAGTACCAAACCACGATGTAACTTTTGTTTAATGTTTCCTAGTTTTCAATAGTTTTTCCTACCTTATGTCAATCTGTAGTTAAATCTATCCATATCTTTTCACAAAACACCCAAGTAAGTAAAGAAAATAACCTGAGAAATTAAATGTTTATTATTTAAACAATGCTTGTTAGTAGAATAAAATAATGTTCCTTTCTGGCAAAAACCATTCACTATGGCACCAGGTGAACAGTGTAACATTGTATGAGATAAGCAATACATGTACAATTCAACGAATATTCACTTACCAAATAATGTTTCTGTAAAAGCGTTTTCAAGTTAAATGTAAGTTGATATATAATTAACTGAAAAAACATTGGTTCACAATAGCAGTAGCATTGTACTAATTTTAGCAAGTTACGACATATATAAATATGAAGGTATTGGTAGCTGTTAGATTTTAATTTAGGCTTAATTGTTTTTAAGTGTTATATATCTAGAATTCTGCATGCTTGTTAGCTAAGCGCACTACGTCATCTAAAAGAAATGCATATTTTGCAAATATTGATCACTTAGGAGTAATTAAAGGTATGTTGATCTAACCCTAGGTTGCCTACTCTCACCCTTTCTCTTTCTCCTGGCTGTTCGACTGGATCATGAAGACGTCAACGTCTGAAGGGAAGCGCGGGGTACAATGGACATCTAAGATGCAGTTGGATGATCTAGACTTCGCAGACGATCTGGCCCTTCTATCCCAAACGCAACAACAGATGCAGGAGAAGACGAACAGTGTGACAGCAGCCTCAGCAGCAGTAGGTCTCAATATACACAAAGGGAAAAGCAGGATTCTCCAATACAACACAGCATGCAACAATCGAATCTCACTTGATGGAGAAGATTTGGAAGATGTAAAAACCTTTACATATTTAGGCAGCGTCATTGATGAACAGGGTGGATCTGATGCAGATGTGAAGGCACGGATCGGAAAGCAAGAGCAGCATATTTACAAATGAGGAACATCTGGAACTCAAAGCAACTGTCAACCAACACCAAGGTCAGGATTTTCAATACAAATGTCAACACAATTCTACTGTATGAGGCAGAAACCTGAAGAACTACGAAAGCTATCATCCAGAAGATACAGGTGTTTATTAACAATTGTCTACGCTAAATACTTGGGATCCATTGTCCAAACACTATTAGCAACAACCTACTATGGGAGAGAACAAACCAGATCCCAGCAGAGGAAGAAATCAAGAAGAAGCGCTGGAAGTGGGTAGCATACACATTGAGGAAAGCACCCAACTGCGTCACAAAACAAGCCCTCACATGGAATCCTCAAGGCCAAAGGAAAAGAGGAAGACCAAAGAACACATTACGCCGAGAAATGGAGATAGACATGAGAAAAATGAACAAGAATTGGATGGAACTAGAAAAGAAGGCCCAGGACAGAGTGGGTTGGAGAATGCTGGTCGGCGGCCTATGCTCCATTGGGAGTAACAGGCGTAAGTAAGTAAGTAAGTAAGTGATCTAACCCTGAGTCCAAATCAAGTTCTTTCGATTATGCTACAACGAGGTTACTAGTCCAAGTTGTTGAACATCGCAAGCAATATTATTTCAATGTTGGTTGATTAATAACGATTAGTAGCAAGCTTTATATCTAAGATTTCTGGTAGTTAAGACTTGTCAATAAGTCTCCTCCGTAACCTTAATGGGACTGATCGATCAACACTAAGGACTAGGTAAGCATGACACTGGCAGTTTTCCAGCTGTTAATCAATATGAGTATCGCAGTTTTACAGGAAGTCAGTCAAAACCCCGATAGCTCAGTGGTAAAGTTTGCAACTGTGATAGTGTGTGGTTCGAGCTAGAGTCCAACGAGTACTATCAGTTCTTACTACATCGCAGAAATGACTTGCAGACAAGCACTAAATTACAATTTCAGAGTTCTCCAGTGATCACATTTATCTAACGTGCCCTCTTTGCATCAGTTAACTTACTTCAGGTGTAAACTATATAATACAGTTATCTATGAAGTCATGGGTAATATTTTAATCATTAATTACAGAAATAAGTCAAATTTATTAATTTTAGTAGTGAAGTAAATGTTTGCATACATTTTATGAAAATGAACTTCGTTGTCTTTTTATTTTACTCAGATCTATTAATTAAGGTTTAAGCACTATATATATACTTCGATAAATAGAATCCCAAGGATAATGAAACCACAGTAAAATATATCTGGCAATTATGGTTTACTACTAAACAAAACGACGGAACAATAAACTAAAAAAATATATGTCATTAAATGAGTTACAGTATTGCAGCGATTGGTTTTATCATTGAGTCAAACATTTCGTTAAAAACAACTAAGGCTGTTGATTAGAAAAACTCATGAAAATGAAATACTTGAACTAAAAGCATCCAGTTTATGAATACCTACACCGTGATCAATCCATGGAATAAATAAATGTGCATAAAACAATCGTCTCAATGAAAAATCCTATTTTAAAAGAAACAAATAAATGAGTTCTTTGTTTTTTTCCTTATGAAATTGAAGATTAAAAGCATGTTTATTCGTTTACATGTTTAAATGGTTAAAAATAGAAGTGATGGAAATTTGCTAAACAAGTGTGTGCTTACAGTCTAATGCTGATATACTTGTTATAGATTTATTTCCAAACCATAATCATGGAAAAGATTTGTAGTTTAAAAGGATGGTTTTGATGACGTTGTGTTCTCTAAGAACAATGGTTTAATCATTGTCTTTCTAGATGACTTTATTAGCACAAACTTCACATACAAATGAGGTATAGGAAACTCTCAACATATGAATAACAGTTTATTCTACTGACCTTGATGTTCATTGGTTGTTGATGATAATGAATTGCCCAACATTGTTTATTGATTTGTGTAACTTATGTTGCAGAAAGCAATAAGCTGATATACATCTTAGCAAATAGATGAAATAGAGATTTTAATACAAAGTAAATACTCCTAAAGTGTTAATTACTTCTATAGTCTATAAAATTTAAATGAGTTGATTCAACTACTTGTAATAATCCACTTAATAATGTATATGTTACTTTAGACAAATAGTGAGTTCACAGTACTTGTCAATGAATCACTTGACGTGACAAAAAAGTTTGGATTTATGTTTGGCTTTTAAAGGGTTTTCGAAAGTCGTGTATTCATTGTCTGAACTGGAGTCAGCTATGATGCTGATATTCATGGCTACATGTTTTTTTTCATTTTTAAGGTTGACTAAATTGTAAATTAGGTGTTTCGCAACATTCAGTCTTTTGATATTTACTTAGTGAAGATTGAAAGCAATAATTTTCGTTCTTCATCTTGATAGTAATCTATTAGTATAAGTTCATTGGTCCTAAAACATCGAATACCTGGATGATGTATTATCATAAAACTTAGACTATCATTACAACCGCTCCCCAAATAACTTTTTAGCAATCAAATATAAGACCGTTAGGTGCTGCTACAAACAAATGATTCCGGTCTCATAATTATTTTGAAGACATGAATTACTAACAAGTCTCAAACTACGAGAAAGTACTTGTCAGTTAATGTATTGGTCATTGAGCATTAAGCAAGTTCATAATTGTGCTAGTCTTTGGTACCATTTGAATCCCATCTACCAAGTTATGTGGTCAGTAATCTAAGTTTTTCGACATCATGTGCACCATGTTTTGATGTTAGATTGATTGAAGTTGTTGGCACGATACACTAAACTTAGGGATAATGCCAAAAGGCCTTTGTCAGCAATGAGTTCCTTCAATCTTAAAGGGACTGGTGCATACCGAGGTATTATAATCCATACCACTCAGGTGTACAATTTGAAACATCAACACATGGTCAACATCAAAACAAAGTGAACATGATGTAAAGTCCCTAGGCAACTTGACAGACGGCATTCGATTAGCACTAGAGACTAGATGAGCATGAAATCAGTCACTAGTTAGTGACTAACCAGTACAAATATCCCGAGCCTACAGGGAATCATATATTAGTGACAACGACCTAGACTGAGGTGATTGAACAACGGAACGTCGGTCATACATTATGGTGTTATTTATCGATGGATAGATTGACATTTCTATTCATGTTGGTGATTGTGAAAAAATGTCAGCCAGAAAAACCTCCCGAATTAGATAGGACAGGATGTCTATTTCGGGTACAACTTAAGTCAACACACTACTTTTTAGCTTTCCTCTAATATTTCCATAATGAGATCACCTAGGACCACTAATAATGTGGTACCTACAACTAACAGATCTTAATAAAAAAATGGTTGGTAGGATTTCCGTGGTTAGTGATTTTCACTTACAGTCAATTCGGTATATTATATGACCATTGCCGATTGTCATATGGTGTTATTTTTATTAGTGATTTAGCTACCTATTGAGCTTTAAAGTTACATTTCTAGGTAACATAAAATAAAATGACAAATGATAAAAACGATTTCATGAAAATAATAAGTGTTATCAAAACCATACTTGATATCTTCTTGACATCTGTTCACCAGAAAACGTTTTGGACCGACGAAGACCAATATGATTTTCCTGATATGATACCTTTAGTAGTGCGAAAAAACAAAGGAAGATAACCAAAATTATTATCGAAGAAAATTATCAGTAAGAGTTCACTAACATTATAAGGATATTCGTATCCAGTTACTCATTTATAATATAACTATTTTAATCTGATAATTACTCAGTGTATGATCATAGAGTGTGAATGAATTAAATCACTGTTAACGGCTTTTGGTGTTATTAAACTGTCAATTCCTAGTTTTTGTTTCATCAGCGTAACAATAAAATATTGCAATAGTTGAGATCATGAGTCAATTGAAGCTACACCACCATGGAGGACCTGGAAGCACTGGACGGTGTTTTGTCCCACGAGACGGGGTCGCGGATGCGCACTGCTGAGAAGTCCCACAATAGGACGAAACGGCGTCCAGTGCTTCCAGGTTTTCCATGGTGGTCTAGTTTCAATTGACTCATGGCCTCAACTATTGAAATTACTACAATCTCCACGAAACCCCTTCTGATAATAAAACATTGCCCAACAAACTTCCTGAAATGGCAGTAAAATTACAGTTGAACCGATGACCATTCTCTAATCAGCGGTGTGATTCTCTTAACCAACAGCTGTAAATGATGGGTGAAATAGAACGTAGTCGGTTGCAATGGCACAGTCCTATTTACTTGTTATCTATTTGATCTTGTGTTTGAAGATTGTCTTGTACTTTTCATCAGACAAATTATTTTTACTCAAGTAATATTGTATGCCTAATGCTTTTAATTACCACTAGTACCGTGACCATTCCTACTACTCTGGTATTTATCTTGATATCTTCCTCTCGCTCAACGAATGTAGCATGATAACTTGAACCGATCAGTGTTTGTTTCAGTTTTCATATTCTGAATGAATAATTAGCTGACTGACTGAACTCGTAATTAAAGTTCAAAATATCATCTAGACTCTGAATAAAGTACTTTTGATGAACGTTTCATATCACATATTGTTCAAACAACTATTTTTTCCAGTAATATGGCTTAAGACATAATAACCAAGACCTATGAAGTAAAAATCCCGAATAATAGATATCACATGTTAGTGTTGCACCCTGGTTGTACAAGCTTTTTCGATATCAAACATTTTTAAACTTCTGTGTCTCAAACCATTATGACAAACAGTGTAGACCTTTAGCCTACTAGGTCACGTACTGACGTACATGAATAAATACCACTTGGTCCTACTATGTCAACGACATGTATAGCATACAAGCTCTCAATGAGATTGTATGCGGCATTTTGAGATGGTGGAGATGATTTGTAGCTCAGGTGGATGATTTAGACAGGATGTTTTTACTCTGAGCTGAATGGTTTGGCTGCAGAGCTTTCATTGTTCTTCTGAACAACATCATCAGCACAAATGTTTACCATCCGGCTCAGAGGGGAAAACTCCACCTAGGTGTATGTAGCATTGAAAATTAAACATAGAATGTAAAATTGCCACTTATTAGTATGATAACATGTTTACATGTAGTGGAAAATAAACGATTTCTTGAATAAATGAATCTCGTACCATTAATATATGCTGTGTCTCCGAGACACGTATACAGAATCCTAGTGTGACCATTCACTCGACCTCACCTAGCGAAAGCGGGGAGCCGACGAGAAATACCTTACGTTTATCAGAAGGCCCAACGGCTAATTCTCGTGGACTAGAGAGTGTAGGCATAGCACTGAGTATGTAGGCAGAACAAGCACTTTTAGAATGGGTCAGTGTTAACAGTCGCCTATGTGCCGTTCAGTTAAATGTAAGAACTCGAAAGGTTATGGACACACGTTGTTACCTTTTCGTCGGTTCTGCCTACACCCACATAGACTGAAACCCGGATGAAGTGAAATATGAATTTTACAAAAGGCTCTCTGAAATTCTCCAAAAAACTAAACACTCAGACAGCACTCGTAGTAGGTGACTTTAATATCCAACTAGGTCTCGTAAACCAAACAGAAAAACATTTAAGTGGGTATTTTAGCATTATGGTTCGGCGAACACAGTATTTGTAGCTACTAGTTATATGTTCTGAACGCATGCAGTTTTAATGATTTTAAATTCAGATTTCTTCAATTTATTCTTTTACGGCTGCTTACAGCATTACTATTTGATATTACAGTTTAACTAGCATAGTGAAGTATTAGACAGATAGAAACAGTAAGTAAAAGTGTTACGCTAGAAACATCCGGTATATAATATTGGAAAAAGTCACTGTTATTATTACTAAGTAATAGAGAAATATGTTATAAACAGTGGTACTACCACTCGTTAAAACCAAAACGAAGAAACACAAAAAGATAAAGAAACAAAAGTATCGAACAAAAAGTATGGTCTATTAAGCTTTTTAGGAGTTTGATTATAAACCATTGTTTTTCCTCCAGTTCATACAACTTCAGAATATCCCACCAAAACTTTTAGTCCCTCATTATCTTTGACGACAGTAATGCATTTAAAATTACAAGAAGTTATTCAGAATATGTGAAACAATTACAATTTATTCATGCATACACTTGATAAAGTTTCCGACCTCAGCATTATAGTCCTATTTAACCAGACTAATTGTATTTGTATAAACTAATAAAATAAGGTTGAATCACACTGAAACATTTCAACTGGATAATAAATTGACCTACAAGCAAGAAATAATGAGAACGTGTACAGTGTGCAAAAGCTCTATAATTTGGGTGAGAAAAACTCAGTTTATGTTAACCAGCTATCACTAATCTTTGGTCATCAAATCATACAAAATATTTGCCTAAAATTTAACCAGTCGGCTAATTAAATACATAGATTAAGAAGTAGTATAGCACAAAATAATCGGTACTTGACTTCTAATTTTTCAAAATTCCTTCTGTCATAAAACGAGAAAACTTTACACAACATCGATTTTGAGACGAGTGAGTATCATTTTGACTGAGAAGGTAATAAAACCAGGAGGACGAAGAAGGTGAAAATCAGCGAGTCAAAGTGGTTTACTCACCAAAACTTGGTATATTGCAAAATAAATGTCCAAGCAGACTGACTAATAGTTAGTGGATTAGCACCTCTGTAAATAATTTGGTTCATTGTATTTTGAGACAAAATTTATGAATTTCGCTGCTCTATGTTGAGTGTTAGTTGGAGTAGTAGGTGTACTTAATTCCGTTTAATCCTACTGAGTTTCCCAACAATTCTGGTTCTTATCTGTTTCTCACCTTGTAGTTTGTTTACCTTCAGTCATGAGTTTTCCGACTTAATTTACTAATGGAGCGCCCACTGACCGTATCTAACGAGAAAGTCAACACGTCTTTCAAACTGAAAAGGCTAGACTCATTTATATGAATCATTTTTATTTCTTGTCCTGCAAACTCCGAGTTTGTTAAACCTAATCACATCATACATCGTATGTGGTGTCGTTAATCCGCGTTTAAAATAACCGTTTATCACGTGGTAAATGTTTTATGTCAAGTGATGGTTTCACAGACCTTCACTGACATATATTTACATACTACACAGCGTTATTTTGAAGGGTTCTTTCCCTTCAATAAATCATACACTGTAACTTACAAAAATGAATAATGGGAATAAATAAAGTCATTATAAAGTCGTCTTTAGAGTTATTGGAAGGAGTAAGTATGAACGAGAACTCGGATTTTAATTATGATGAATACCAAACACAAAACTCACATCAGATATTTTCCGTTCATCTGTGACTTTTCTAATTGACTTTGTTTCACTATTCTGATCAGTTCCTTCTAATTCTTCTGATTTCATGAGTGCCTTGAATGCCTTCACTCTGGACGCAACATCATGAGAGCAAAAATCATCCCTCATCGAAGGATCTGGGGCATTTACTTCTATTTTCATGGATTCCAGACGACCGTTTGTTTGCCGAAGTGTTTTGTCCATTGTTCGGAAAGTTTCACGACGTGGCACAATGTTATTTGTGTTTGGATTTGGCTTCTGGACTTTTAAATTGTTCTTTAATTCACATATGGGAGCGACAGTTTTCAAACTTGCTGGGCAGTTAAGAGCAAAACAATCTAACTTGGAAGTGGGATCTACAGGAGCATTATTTAGCATAAGAGCTTTCTTGTGTTCAGGGAAATGACTTTGGTTATTTTTACTATTATCATGTACTTTTGACAGACTTTTTGCGAATAAACCGTACTCGCATTCCCCTCGATCATCATGGTCTGATGACATATGTTCATACGATTCAGGACTACTAACATAAACAGGGGAACTGCGACGAGCCGAAACGTTCCCGCGCAAGGGTTTTTGTCTTTTGTATTTAGATAATCGGTGAAAACCTCTGTGGTCTGTATGAATAACTGGCTCAGATTTACGTTGAACAGAATCAACGTGGATGCGGTTAAGAGGTTTTGTATTAGGTGTGACTGATCGCCGCTTTTCAGTCTCAGAGCGTTTTACAACTGGAGTTGTTCCATTATTTTCGGTGACTAAATAAGCTAGATTATACTTATATTCATCATCAATAGTCAGTTTTGAAAATTTAGTTACAAAAAGATGTTCCAAAGGAGCAACGTCTGTAATAGATCCTTTTGCAGAGTCACAGTTGTGTACAGTGGATTTCTTGAGCATTTTATTATGAGATTCATTGCTATTAACTTTACATAAGTGCATAACGCATCATATCATTGCACAAGACAAAATTATTCAATTTTGCACCGAAAGTGAAGGCTATTCAGTATCCAACATATATTTGTAATGAACTGACTGAAATTAGATTGTTTCTTTACACTTCGATCTTATTGACAGACAAAAATATTTTATTACCATTAGGTACTAGTTATCCTACACTATGTAGATATTACTTTTTACTGAAATAATACATCCATAAATATTTAAGACACGCGATTCATTTTTAGTATAACAGAATGCTTGATGCCCTGTGTTAGTTCTCGTAAGAGAAGTCTCCAGCCGGGTTTAAAGTTATGTTAAAATAAGCAGTTCTGTTCATTGGTTATATGATAGGAATATCAGTAACCAATAAACAACTCATTGGTTCTGTTTTTGTAAGATTTCAGAGTGTCTTCAGCATTTCTGTTCCTGTGTGTTGGGGCAAACAATAATTTTTTAGACGCACTCTTGTTATTCAGTGATGTAAAACTGTGGTTTGGTCACCTTTAGACTATGTCTGTTACTAGGGTACTAGACCTAGCTTAATGTATGAGCTTGTAGGATTATGATCTACTACGATATTAGTACTGCTCTAATAATAGACCTAATCCTAAGTTTGTCGATTTGTCATGATATAACTGCCTAATCTATAAGATCTTACGTGGAAGTCACACCATCGACTACGCCAACTCACTGTATCGTATCAATTACCAATACATGATGAAGGACAAGGTTAAGTTAGAGAAGGAACAATATATTTAATATGAATAGAGACCACGCCTGCATGGTCGAGCCATGCCACTCGATCAACTCCAGTCCATTCAATTCATTCTCCGCGCCTTCTCCATTGTTAGGTATTTCCCCGAGTTAAATATTGAATATCTATTTTCTGAGTAGTCTTGTGTTCACAGCTTTGTAGATTGTGTGGCTATTGTCCAATGCCACTACACTACTCTCCCACCAGAATCAACGTGATGTTGGTTCGATACCAAATTGGATGGGATCGTCGCGCGCCGGAGGTTACCAAGGATAATAAAGATCCTCCGGGTATTGATAAGCTGAAAGATAAATCAAAAAGAAGGCAGTATCTGGTCGGAAAATACATGTAATAATCTTAAAATATCTGCTTTCATGATTAACACGCTTAAAATGAAAATTTGGTTGAAGATTATTTGAACTATAAAAAATGGGATTACAATAATAATAATAATAAAACGATGCGTGTTAATAAATTAACTTATAGGCAGTAATTATTTTGTGTTTAGAAATATTAAAATAATGAATATTGTAGAAATGTTAATATTGGTATTAGTTTTGGTTTAAATTATGAAATCGGATAACGATTATGCCGGTAAGTTGTCCATATGAGTTGAATTCCAATTGCATCTGTATTAGTAGGCTAACTGAAGGAACAAAAGTATTACCATGGTAAAGAATTCCAACTAGTGTTCTAGTTAGTTTGATACGGTTTATTTAGTTACGGGGAGATTTTCTCAACCTCATTTTTACTTGACCGTGATAGAATTTAGTAATACTACTAATACACATGAATGTTCATCAAAACAAAATTTAAATACGTGAGTGATGATTATATGAATTTTGGACAGATAGCTAGGAAAAATCGTTAAACATGAGCGTATTCGTAAGAGACATGCTCTAGACTCAATGTTCTGATCTGTGGCAGACTATTTACTTGTATTTATACTTGCCGAGTGATTGGACATACAAGTTAGTTGCAAGTATGCAGTTTATCATAAGGCGGAACACGATTTAATTGAGATATAGTGGTTACAAGTTATTAAAATCAGTTAGACCTGTGTCATATTACGAAGTGATGTGGTGCTGCAAAATGTATTTAGCTAAATAAGTTTTTACAAGATGATTAATAGTGAGTGATGCTCATGTGATTATCAGGGAGAACATAAGTTGTAACCAGGGGGAGTACACTCCCAACTCATGTCTATGATAATGGCTTGAACCTTAGTCAGTGTTGGGGTAAATTCGACATTGATGTTTTCAGTTTGCAGGAGATTTGCTCGACTGCTTATACTGATTATTTGCATGCATGATTGTGTCGCTAAACCATCAATTAGACTGACAAGGTTTTGAGATATTTATTGAATGAGCAACTGATAGAGAAACATGCTGTAATCATCTGTGATGGATAAAGATACCAAGAAAACAACACCATTTAATGGTAATTATAAGTCAATTTGTTGACCGATTTCGTTAATAGTTTTATTAATTTTATCAGTCATATTACGTGATTGTCAAGTTATGACAATGCTTTATGACGATATCCTGAAACTATTAAATTTAACTAGTTATAGTGTTGACTGAGGATTAGTCAGTGGAAAAATAGGTATTGTTGCTTTAGGTGATTCGAAATCATCAGAAACTTATAACGTTAAAGAATCCGAGACGCCTAATTTAATTATAAATTTCAATCCAGAAATATTCGTTTAGTGTTAATTCTAACAGGCTACGGAGTTTTGATTTTAAACGTTTGTTTAGCCAACAGCTACTTGGGGATTTAGTTATTTCACTAGTGCAGTTGATAGTACCTAAATCTTTCATCTTATTATCTAAGCTATGTTCGCATTTTAGGCTGCTAATATGATAAACCAATCCATAAACCCAAATACGATTAGCAACAACGACTATGATGGGTTTATTGATAAATGTTAAAGGCGATTCAGATGATTTCTAAATTTAGAAGACATGGAGATATAGTGTAACGTATGTATGGGCCAGGTTAACATGCAGGTTGTTGACGTATATGACGATTTAAAAATAATGAACATGACCAGAAAATAGTTTTAAAGTTTAGACTGCTTGTGAAACTTCAGGTAGGAATATGATGCGTGATAAACATTCCATAAGGAGTTACTGCATTTAGCCTAGGGACACTTACAAATACATAGCAAAAGGGACCGGAAAACATATACATGTTAAGTAAAAAAATCATCCAGTAAAATAGTTGAACTCGCCTGGGTTATTTTTGAAAATTAGATTATTCAGTGGACGACATATATAACGCTATTCGTGAGTAGTATTGATCCAAAAGCATCCAGAATAAAACATGCAGTATGGCAATTAATTCCAGGGTGCTTGATGCTGTTGAGGTTTTTGACACTCGCTCGGATCAGAACAATCGAATGAATCCAGATAATTGTATAGTTGTCATTGAACGAACCATCTAAAATGAACTTATGATTGCAGAAAACTTATAGCTGAAACTCACCGTATGTTTTTGGAGAAGTGTCATCCTCGTTGTTTGGCAATGGAACTCGAGAATATGAAATTAGGCAGGCAGTGGTCGGAAGAAAAGATATTACAGGATAGTGCATCGTTTAAAACAGGATGAGGTGTTAAGTGAAGGAACACTGAGAATTAGATCCAGATAACTATTTAGTCCTTGATCGCATTGTTAGTCAATGTATATTTACGCTATTTACAGGTCATATTTGCTAGAGCTTGATGTTTAAACAAGACTATGTCGCTGAAGCATGTAAATGCTATCACAGCTTGTTAACAAATCATCAAAGCTAATTAGTTAATATAGACGACCAGTTTTTATTATCGATTGAGCTAGTTTGTCATGAGGACTAATCAATATAACATTACGATAATGCATGTGAGCATTAATCAGAGGACTATTAGAATACAGTGTTAACATAAATATAAAATCGATCGAGAAAGTTGAAGTGGAAATAAGGATTAATAATAATAGGTTGCGTTTCTTTAGTTGGGCTCACCAATGTAGGATTATGGTCTACTACGATATTAGTACTGCTCTAATAATAGACCTAATCCTAAGTTTGTCGATTTGTCATGATATAACTGCCTAATCTATAAGATCTTACGTGGAAGTCACACCATCGACTACGCCAACTCACTGTATCGTATCAATTACCAATACATGATGAAGGACAAGGTTAAGTTAGAGAAGGAACAATATATTTAATATGAATAGAGACCACGCCTGCATGGTCGAGCCATGCCACTCGATCAACTCCAGTCCATTCAATTCATTCTCCGCGCCTTCTCCATTGTTAGGTATTTCCCCGAGTTAAATATTGAATATCTATTTTCTGAGTAGTCTCGTGTTCACAGCTTTGTAGATTGTGTGGCTATTGTCCAATGCCACTACAAGCTTTCAGATTTAAAGGTTCGAGTTATGATTTTTAGCGGCCCAAAAATTGTTAAACATAATCAAGCTGCTTGTACACACCGTTCGTATTTCCGCTGAGTGGACATCGTTCATATAATTTGGGCAAATGTCATTTGAAATAATACAAAATTCTAAAGTCTCAATGTTAGGCTCAGAAAACCTGTCAGCAATTCACCTGTAGCATTAAATAAATCACCAAAATCAATAGCTCTGTGAGCCTTCGACATTTGATGCTGACCATATTAGTTTTGATAGACTCATTTAGCTGGAGGCACTCAGTCACGCATCCTCACCAGGTCACTAGTGGGAACGACGTGCTCAACCTCTCCTGCAACCGCTAGCTAGTTTACATCAGTCACTTCTTGACATATTGATAACCTATCAAATATATCTACGAACCTCCTCGCTTCTGACCTTCGGTTTCATTCGTTGGTCACGATTTAATTACAGGTGTTACTAGTTAAAGTGTTGTCAAACTACGAATACTTATGGCATCTTCATTGGTGAGCCGAGATGATCTGGTACACAAATTTGTAAACTATGAGTCTGTTCTTTTCTGGAATTTCATGCATCATTGCCCTACTCTAATTTTTATACATTGTAATATTTTTTTCGTGTTATTGAATATCTTTCCCTCGTTCATTCCTGTACTTCATATTCGCCATAACGGAACAGACTCCTAAGGTACTGAAGATCATGTCTATGACACCACTCTCATCTTAGTTAATGCCATGCTGGCCAGACGACATCGAAGCCTCGTTCTGTTACACAAAGGCTAACTTCTACGGGCACGACGTGACTAATACACCTGCTCAATTACTCTCAGCAGTGACGGCACTACCGCGCGGATTCAACAGGCACGTCACACCTAGTATTTTGATTAGT